GGTAAGAATAGCAAATAAGCGTTTTACGGAATCGACAGCGTTTTGAGCAAGGGACACTTTAAAGCCTAGTAAATGGTTGTATCTTGCTAAAAGGGAAGCAAAATGCATTAGGATATGTTTGAATTTTATGCTTGTCTTGCTGACAATTTTCGGATCTCATACACAGTTGATTATTTAAGAACAGCTGCAGTTGTCAAGAAAAGCAAGACTACATTCTTCCATATTTTAAAGAAAGTGATTTGCTCCTAGGGAAGTTGACAAGCAGACATTAATGTCAACAAATTTTACCATCCTTCTGGATATTGCTAATGCAAGTGGAGCATAAATGTAACTTCCAACAATACCTGCATGAACGCCAAACTATCCTTAGTAGTGATAAAATCCTTGCTTTGTTCCACTTCTGCATCATAAATGTTAAATGAAAGCAATCGTTTAGACTTTGCATTGTCTTTCCAAATATCCCTTCCATTTAAAACCTGCTTGATATTGGTACCAAAAATTTGATAAAAGCTTGACAGACATGCAGCAGATAAGGCTGAAGATTACATCCCCTTTTGCGACCAAAAATCCACTTCTCTCAATTATAGCTTTTGTGGTACAAGGTCTTGCGGCATTCTTCAGACCTACAAATGGACTTTGCATCGACTTGTAGTCGGCCAGCGCTGAGCTACTACAGTTCTACTGCAATTACTTGTGCAGTCCAGCGAATGCACACAAGCAAGCACAGTCCTTTGAAGATGAAATATGAGGTAGTGTGTACATCACTAGACGGTAACTAGTCAAAAATCCACGTGCTTATTTACAAGTTGGCCGGAAATAACTGTTGCAATCTTACTGATTCCCTGACCCCTTCGCTGCATAAACCTGCTATGCTTCTTCATTATCTTCCGTCGACAAAGAGCTTATATTGCCAACGCGTTGAATTATCTTGCAGAAAATGGCGCATGCAATGAGACTGTACTCCGCACTGCAAGGAATCAGGAATTCAACGAATTCAGCTGTGGCTGTTTGAGGCCTCACTAAAAAGGAGAAATTTGAAGGAAACTATCAAACCTTGTTACCAGATTTTTGAAAAGTCAACCATCTGACTTTGGAAGTGTTAATGTTCCAATACTCGTACCACGGAAGTGATCTAATTGACAGATGCTCGAAATTACCTTCATGAGGAGAGGATTTTTATCATGTCAAGTGTGCTTCCTTTTAATGTAGCTTTTGGAAAGCTGGACAGGCGTGGATTGATATTGCTTCACAAGCCTTCATCGGACTCAATCGCTGTGGCACACTGGTATGAAGCAGACAACAGGAATTTCAGGACATCCTTCGGGCACAAGCAATATTACACAATGCATTGGCTTAGGAATGGCAACGACTTTCTAACGTTCTTGTCTAAGCCTTAATGTTGCCTTGAATCCAGTAAAATGTAATGGAGCTCCTAACCTGCTAAATATATGGTAAGATTAAGCATAAACGTCACTGTCAAAACATCAATTTTTTTAATTTGAAATTGTAAAATCGTTTATTAAAGGGGGTGGTAAAGACCCAAATTTGTTTCTTTATTGATGGTTCCACTGGTTGCATTTGCCTCAAATAAGTTGTCCAAGTGGTGCAGTGTTGCATTTATCAAAATATTTCAATGGTATTGACAGACAATGTCATTGCATACTATGACTTCTGAGAGACTTTTTCATGTGAGAAATAATACATACTATCCCTTTTTTACCTTTGTAACTGGAATACAATGTAGCATTTGATTTTGGTCTTTGCAGTGGCATCGGAGACATGAAAACGTCATCATCCGCCGACTTAGCCACCACTTCATGCACAATGGCGCATGAACACTGCACAAAATTGACCACTGTCATGTGGTAGAGGATGAAACGAATGACTAATTTCTGCACATTGAATATCACCCAAAAAGTAAACAGTCAAACAGCTCACAAAGTCCAGTTAATCCAACAACCTAGACAATAGCCGTGAGTAAAATACTAATGAGGAATCTTCAACTAAGGACAGACAAACATACATTGGCTATAATGTACAGTCATTATGCCAAATGGCAAAAGTTGCAAAAGAAGCAATGGAAGAAGAACTATTAACTAAGCAGCATTCTGCCGTGTAGGAAGTGCCAGTCCCCATTCTGTAGCCGTAATTGCTTAGAGATTTCTATGCTCTTAGGGTGCAACATTTTGCGTCGGCAATTATGCTGGGTTTTATGTGCTTTTGAACTAGTACATTATAGAAGGCGCGTGTTTGAAACGAATATGGGTCGTAAGAAAAAAAGGCACTACTGATCACACGTGTTAAGCCTTTTCAACCGTAACAGACCATCATTTCGTACAAAAAAAAATCTAGTAACCAAAATTTTTTAAATAGGAAGGGCGTTTTCACACCTTTTTATGAGTGATTTGTTCGTTTATATCATTGCCTAACTGCTTCAGCTTACATCTATAAGCAGCTAAACTAATATTCGTGTAAGAAGTATTGACGAAGCGCAATGTAAAACCTTTAAAACGGCTACGGTTGTGCAAGTAAAAGTTGAAGTAATTATCAAGCCCAAAAGAGATCAAGCCAACGCGCAGTTTCTGCCTTGAAGGTTCTGCTTAGCATATGTAGGCCTGCAGCCAATGTACATGATGCGAATCAAATTTCTAATTCAAATATGGCTTAAAACATAATTAAAAGCCGGTTTAGACTATTTTTAGGAGAATTTTACAGTTACCAAAGAAGAAAGCCACATAGGACATCTTCAAGATTTTGGTACTAAACTCTTGCATTAAATATAAAAATATGAATCAATGCTTTGGTCACATTTCATGGATAACTTCGCAACCATCAAGTGTGGATTGACAAGAAATATACTCACTGGTCCGGAAATATAACACGACAGTTGGCAAGCAAATTTGGTTGGTCTTAATTTGGTTTTTACTAAGCTAACATTTCGACTTCAGTTCAAACAGAACGAAGTGTCGTCTAGAGGGCATCACATATGCATTTGAGTAGGACAAAATATTATGTATTTTTATGGAATGCCTATTGAAGAGTTCTCGAAAATGTATGGGAGGATTTTGCATAGGGACACTGTATTCAACACATAAGCAACTCGAAAGAACATGGAAATAGCAAAATACTAACCCGATGATATTTGAAAAGAAAGTAGGTTTGAATGAATATGCAGACGGAATGGATCACGTTGAGTGGAACCCAGAGATCACTGTGGTATTCGGATGGCACACCAATTTCATTGAACCAATCAGCAACTTGAAGGCCATTCCTGATTATCACTCCAAAGCCAAAAACTGGAAGCAGAATAAAGGAGTTGCTTTTAAAATAAATACTAAACCATTTAATGTACTTGACCTGATGCAACTTCAAATGCACTCTTAGCACGATTAAATTCTGAGCTTTGTAAAGAGATTCAGTGTTTTCAACTTTTGGAGGAATATAGAATTTAGTTATTTCTTATTGCAGAGGCACGATATTACCGAAATGGGATAGCGTAATTTATACCTTAAGGAATGCAGCTTCTGTGAAAAGCTCTGTTAAAGGTTGTGAGAATTCAATAAGGACTTGCTAATAAATAATATCATGAAAAACCATGGTAAATTAAATTTGTTTTTGTCAACTTTAAACAGGCATTGCATGCCTGTGTGATAAGGCACTATCGTTGGTACAGCGGATTTGATCAAAATAGCCAACACAGAAGAAGTTGTCACACTAGATTACATTCATAATTCCAAAATTCTGATGTTATTAGAAATTAGCGAATAGGACATCGTCCTGCATCCCCAAGCAAATTATTTGGAAGATCAGATATTTGTCAGATTTTGGTACAGAAAATAGCATCAAAATTAACTTCTTCGTCTTTGCCTTTAGTCTGCACATTTTGGCAAAGACTACCTGAAAGCTAGTTTTCAAATAATGCGAAAAATGCGTTCTCGGGAGTAGACAGCCAACTGCCCATTCACTTTGCGCCTTGTTTTGCACAGGATTTGCCAGCCAAAATAAGTGAGTTCTGCATCCAATGACCCAACAGAGATTCAGAGTGCCCTAAGCTCAAGTAGCGCTTTTATCTCCAGCCGTAATTTTCACAATCTAATTTCTGCTTCACTGGTGTTGCAAGAGAGATCGTATTTTGAGCGACGACCACCTTTGCAATATCACACCACACCCCATTTAATGGCATGTCTTCAAGTTGTCCAATTTATTTGCATAAAACATGGTACAAAATGCATTTTTAGACCCTATCAACTAAACAGTTTACTGTAACAGGTCCTATAACCGAGGTAGCGAAATGGTCAATGTTATCTTGGCTCCCACTAGTCTTGTCTCCTACCGATAGCTCTGAGGCGAAGGTATAGGTTTATTCCACTAGGATGCAGCATTATAGGCGATTCTTTGTCATCGAGATTGCTTGACTGATTCAACACATGGTCAGATTCTAGCACACTTTGATTATTCTCACGCGGGGCTATAAGAGAAGTTCTCATTTCTTCTTTAGGAAGTGATTTAAACTAAAAACGAAAGAGCAAATGCATAACAGCCTACTTACCATTGCTTCTAGAAGTTGTACTGAATATGCAGTAATTTTCAGACTGATTTAAATCCTCCTCATTTTGATTGTTCGCATCAATATGATAAGTTTCTTTTGCATCTAAAAGAAGGGCATGTTTGACGCATATATGGCTTTACTGTAAAATTTGCAAAAGTTGTATCAGTTTCATTTTGTCACCATAAAAGTGCGAAGGTCTGGAATTATTGATTACACCTCAAACATAACTGCAAATTTATTAATATTTTGCCTTTTCTTCTAGTTGTCAGATACATGGCATAGATGATATCATTAAAGTCTGGGTAGTAAAATCGATGCAAAGAGCAAAGCTGCAGTCTTAAAGGATATTGTTTTAATTGAAGCCAAGGAGTAAGAAAAAGTTTTTATGACGATGGCACGTAATGGTGGAAAATTTGTCTTTCAAAATTAAATTCAGCGTCTTTTTACCTCCTACCTAAATATTCCATATTTTCATAACCAAGGTGAAACTTCTGCCAAGTTCAAATTCTTGATAGCAATGCAAAAAGTTTATTACGCCTCATCATGTTTACAAACATTTTCTTAGTTATAAGTTAGAATAAGATGTATACGAAAAACCATGCATTTTCAAGTAATATAATTTCTACTTATCATCTAGTATCCTTTTTAAGAAAATATTAAACCAATATTAATATCACAAAGAAAAGTACTAAAAGCCACTCGCTCAAAATTTAGAAGGCCATTGATATCACTGAACTTGCACAGAATGACTTTCTCGAAAACACATCTTGCAGAATAACAATGTTGACGTTTATCCTTATGATTATACTAATCAGAAAAATTGTCGGAACATCAACGGTATAAAAACAGTTTAACATAAGCTATTGATGTTCATTTAGGCGATTGCCTCTCGGATTTGCAGGTTTTGTCCTCACTAAAAAAGGAACCAAAAAAATAACTTGAATTTCTAAACAGTACTCACTGCTTGATAATCTGTTCTTTTTTTCAAAATAATCGAATGAAGTTTTAGCTTGTCTGCTGTCGTGACACGGATCGCTCAGAACTCTAGCGTTTCTCCGGCCCAAGTCGGCATCCACTGATGGTCGCTTCCGCCGCTTATAATATTCCAGCAGTCAATATAAAAATTATCCAGTAGGGAGAAAAAGAGAGAAAAATAGCCAGACAAAGAACCAACTCACTTGATGGTGGTAAGGTCCTTCCTTTTTAAATTCACATCTAATCTACTAACTTTATGCAGTGTGTATTCAAGTGGGTCTTCCATAGTCAGTTTGACCACTTGTTTCCATCGGCATCGGCGAATGGCTTACAAAGTTGTTTGACTCGCTTTACCCTTTAACTAATTTCAGAACAAAGTAAACACAATACACTCTTAATTGGGCAGAATGATGCATTAACTTTGACCAACCACTAGATACCTAGCTAGAGAACCCTTTCAACTTGATCCTACTCTCATACCATTGGACAGACGAAATGCATTAAGCATTCAATATAGCTCAATGGAATGACTTGTTGTGGTAAAAACTGTACAGATGCGAGTATGCTTCTTTAGTTTACCTTGTATTGTGCTCTATTATATTTCTAATTTACAACTGATGACGTTTAGGTGGTCCTAATATACATCATTTTGACCTGGTTAGAACTGAATGGGTTAGTTGTATCAATCTGAATGGTATGTGAAGAAGTCTACAAATATCTAATGTAAGTGCTAAAGCAATTTGCTTGCAGTTAAGGCAGATCAAAGTGGAACATTGTAAGTAATATTAAAGCACATCAGTCCTACCGACACGTGGTTACGGAAACCGATGAGACTGTAGTATGGACTTAGTGATGCTTACTTAATTAACTTCACACTGGAAGGTACAACTGTACAAAAGCTCCTTAAGTTAAGGAAATCATAGATTAGAAGGGCCATTAACTATGCGAATGAAATATAATAAGAATTATGTAAGTCATCACCGCTATTACACTAAATTACCTTAAGCATTGTTATGTTCAAGGCACATGTAGTTCACCGAATGCAAAGCGATTTTATAATTGCATTTTCATGTTGCAAGTCTTGAATTATAGTCAGAGCAATTGTTTGAGATTTCCCTTTGAAACCTAAACTTCTTTTGATTCGGGGCGATCAAAAAGTAGCGCACTCAAGGCCAGCTGCTGTGGCTTAGAACAAACTAGGTCTGGATACCTTCGTAAAAAATCAAATTTTAACAGAAAATGTTTATTTAGCACTTTAAACACTATTTTTATGTAACAACATGCATTTCAATACATTATAATTACGATTTTTCGAATAATAAAATGCACGCGCATTAAGAAAAGATAAATTGATGGGCAGATAAATTCCAACTGATGTCGCCTAGACTGCATTCCTCAAATGTTACAAAAGTACATGTACTGTCTCTGCCTTTCGGAAAGCGATTCTTAAGTGTAAGGCACGAGTTATACAGAAGAAACGCTTCCTGTTGGTGTGCGAATTGCTCTTTCGCATCCTTCAGCCTGAAGACGCAGCGTTTACTGGAACGAATGATAGCATTAATGAGGAATTACAGGTTGTTTGGTGGGCCGTTAAAATCATCCCTACCTGTAAAGTATGTAAGTTAGGAGAATAGAGAACACTTAAATGCAAATATTTTACCTAATTAACAAGATGCACACATTCGCAAACCTTGGTGTACGTAGGAATATAATGTCACTTTTAGACAACCCCACTTTCCGATGTCCAACTCCTACACAACAGGATAAAAAATGAGCAATTTAAATAGGTCGATCCTGTCTCTACTTTGACAGCTTACCATACACTGGGTAAGAACTCCTAAAAAGAATATTTTTAGAGATGACTAGGAAGAATGTATGCAAAACAACTTCACATATAAATACTGCATTCCTCCCGGACCATGTCTGATGCCGATTACCGAAATCAAAGTGTTGAACGAAAGGAAGTGGTAAAATATAATCTAAATTTTATTGCGACATCCTCAAACGCTGCACTTATTACACCCGTTTTCATTTGTTAGTTCTTTTAAACACGAACTTTCTCAGCTATAAGCAAGTAAGTAACGTACGCAAGCCTCGATATGGCACAGAATGTCAATTGTTCTGATTAATATCAAACAAACACCGAGTTGAGGCAGTTGAAGCTAAGCAACGTAAATGTTCTGACCTTATTGTCTCAAATTCTAATATAATTTGTCCAAATTGTATTATGATTCATTCAAGACTTGTAAGATGGTGCCCTACTTTGATAAAGCATTTAACGGTGTGCTCAACGACGCTGGCACCTAAGGCCCTAAAGATTGCACTTCCGCTTGTAGTGTTGCCCGGTATATGCAGCAAGTAGCCCCTCGGCCCCTGTGCTTGTTAGCTGTATATATTCTTACACACAGTTTTAGCTTTTCACGGCCTCAGGGAAAACGTGTTATGATGAATATCCTTAACTATCACCTCGATATTGCCAAAATGAGTGGAAGGTATGATAATTAAAGAAAATTGAAGCACTTAGGCGTCAAACACGGTGACAGTAAGGTCATATATGTGTTTCGCTAAACTGATGACTGAATTACGCAAAATAGACACAAATAAACATTCTTTAGTGGTGTAAAGCCTGCTCATTTTAATATATACATGCATAAATTGGGGGATATGAGAGCACTTATAAAATGAATTTAACGAACTCTATTTTCGACAAGTACGCCGTACCATAGTTACAAAGTTAGAAAGTTGTATTATCGTATTTACCTGCTTGGATAAGGAGTGATTGTTTTGCATATCGTCAGATAGATTACTGGTGGGATATACGAATTGAGTACATTCTTTCAGCAATCAAATGCAAAGAATTTTTGAGTTTTACAGCAGTGAAGACGATGAGACTTCTTGTAGTGTAGCAAAACCTATAAAAATGTTTAGAACTCTTTTGTCGTTAAAAATGTAATTTAAGGTGTCAGTTGAAGAAACATGAGTGCTAACAGACACAATGAGTCAAAGCATTTATGGGTGCAACTTAATAAGTAAATTTATCTAAATTGCGTTTAACTTTACATTTTACTTAGCAGAGAATTAGGGAATATCATGATTTAAAATCACTCGGAAGGTTGGTGTAAAAATATCACAATGAATTTCTCCAAAAATGCAGAAGAGTTATTTTTAGGCTCTATGTATCATGCGCATCCTTAGAACATAATCAGGCACCAATCGCTGCCACATTTGACTCAATATATTTAGTTTGGCATTGTGAAACCTTTGTTTAAACGACGCAATGCCTAGCAGCTGTACATTTAAGACACAATTAGGTCAGGGATTTATTTGCATGGGACCAGAAAAGTCAACATGGTGACAAATAAGCGCATTCTTTTTGTACTGCATAGATTATGACGAGTTTACCGCATTATCTTTGAACTCTTCTCTAATCAAATGACTCGAAAATCTGCACACCGATTTTGTGAATAGCTGCTTAGCATCAGACTGTATCTGTCACCCAAAATTAGCAGCAGTGACCTTATATTTGTGAGTGAAGGTCTCAAATATGGCGGGGCTCATTCCATAGATTGCGGGGTAATTTCTGTGGTGCATGTGCTCAACGCATGGGCTGTGATAAAATTGTGCAGGCAGTCAACAGTTTTTGTGGGAGGCATGAATGGATCTGTTAATGAACATTAACAGCTGTGATAGATCAGAGCTTTGGATACTCTTATGGTGGTGCAACTGACTGAAGTTTTTATGTGAAGGGGAAGGCCAGGATTTCCCGGATCGCGTAGATGCAGAAGACTTCACCTCTGTCAAAGCATTTTACAGAGGGAATAGAAACAAATGCAAAGGCAGTACGAGATTGCAGAGGTCATCATTTTCGTGTTGACGCCAAGGCTATGCGATCCGGCCTTCATTAACGCACTTGTACTAGTACATTTGTCTCCTTTATCGTAGCAACAATTCGATGCCGAGGTAGATGTATTGACTTGACAGGATACCATGCAAAACTTAATATAGTCTACTCTTTGCTAACTTTACTCACTTTAGCCTTGACTTTCAATGGAAGGATTGCATTCCTCTAACTACATGATTTTGGGTCGAAGAAAAGAAGGGAGTTTGCGGATGCCCTTTCCAGAAACAGACACAGGTATTATAAATGCTACTCACTTGTTCACTTGCAGCAATCCGGCAAAGTAACAATTTTATGCACAGCACAAAAGTTATTGTGAATTTCTGCAGTGAATTGGGCTTTCCATCCTCACAAATTTGTTTCTATTTGCTCACATTTGCCTTTTAATTTTAAAGCATTTTGGTAAGCTATTTAATGAGGTGTATTTCAACCATCTTGCTAAAAATTATGAACCAAAAATAAAAATTTAAAGCCAACTACCAGCCCTTGTAATACTTTTGCCTACACAGAGTTATTCTCATGCAATTTGACTCCCAGTTATTTGCATCGGAGGAATTACTTTCCAGTTGATTAAACTCGAAAAATGACTTCATGTCAGAAATCTTAGTATTTTCTAAAAGCTGATTTTGTTCTATTAAGTGGCGTGCCTATTAGATAGCTACAAATATTTATGTTTGTGCTCATGTACTTTGCATGTAGTTAATACTAATGCCCTAATGTATCATAATGGCCTCTGACAATAAAAGTAAGCAATTAATTTAATGTATAGGCTAGTAGCAAATGCCTTAGACACCGTATTACGTGTAGGTATGAAATGCAAGTCATAGATTTGCACCGTTCAAATAATTTATTATTGTTTTTAATGCTTTGCTGCAAACAACAGGGTTTTTATGTATCGATAGTTAATAGAACTCACGGTAAAATCTTTATTGTATGGTATGTGATATAATTGCCTCCAGAAAGAATTAATGAATCTTTAGTATTATTGCTAGTTTAACTGGTAACGTACCAGTAATAACGCGCTTGGAACGATGTTTCCACTAAAAAAAACGCAAAACGGTGAGAAGAATAGAAGAAAGCTATGTGGGGACTTATGTGGTACTTTTTACTATAGTCCGTATGTTTACCAAAAAAATCAAAAGATATTTTATTCTAGACTTTCTCCCACTACAGCTATAGCGCTTTTAGCAACGAGTTTTGATATACTTATGTGAAAATAAAGTAACTTAATAAATCAAAGTGGTTTTTGATACATTAATTACCAGCAAATTAGCCAAGGAACAAAATTTTATTTGTAATGTGTGCTCCAAATTCAAAATATCCACGATATGCTTTTGGTTTGGAAGCAAAAGTATCGCCAGTCGGTTGGACGAAGAAAAAAACACCTAAAAATCATAGAAGAAAGCAAAGTAAAAAGAAAAAAATTATGTAGATAATGTGGAAGTCAAAACAGATTTCTTATTTCACTGCTTCGTTATGAGGTGAACAGAGTCACCATCTCTCCCACGTGATGGAACAAGGCTTTCATTGATGCTGACTGGTTTGCATTCCAGTGAATACAATGTCTATTAAACAAAACTAGCGTAACTGTGCTCCATTATGTCTTATTCATGCCCAATCTCCATACACCAATAGGTTATTTGGCAAGACGGTTGCAGTGGAGATATGAATCCACCACAAAAGAGACGGCTAAACAATTTGCTATCAAAAGTCAGAAGGTCCCACATTGTCAGGTCTCCCAAAATATTGATCAATGATGAGGATAAAAAACTATGAGAAATTATTAGAACGATTTGCATTAGGAAAACTTAAGATATTGGTTAATTTGAATAAATAGAAGGCGAGTGATGGCTTTACCATTGAGGCAGCCAGCTTGTTGATGAACCTCACATGCATCCTAAATGTCCCTATTTTGACAACAAAATGAATCCAAATGTGCACACGTTCTTGATAATGTAGGAGTGTGTTGTGTGGCGGATCTAAAGCTTCTGCTGTTGCAAATCACCATGCAGCTTGAGTTAGTCCATTACTCGTATCCGATTTAAGCATTTATTTAAGCTACAGATACGATCACTACTTAACGGCTGAAGGAAAACAGGGTTTTCCACTTTTTATTCACAATACATTATAGACCAGTCAATGATGTTTTGGAGCATGATCAAGGTGACTTCTACAATAATAAAAGCTGGCAAGCAATACCAAACTTCGGTGGAATTTACTTCTCTTTTACTTTACTTTGCTTCTACAGATGACTTTGTGTAGTAGATATCCCTTGAGTCCATTCAGCTTCTTACTGATTCGCCTAATACTCATATTCATTCACACTCTACTCATTCGTCGACCCCTTTACCTTCTCTGCTTTTCCAGTTTGTCCTGTTACCAACGCTTGATTACATCAGCTGCGTGTTTCGAAGTTCTTAAGCCTTGTCTTTCTTCTTCACCTCTATTCCTTCCATTCATGAATCCATTCATTCCTACACTCCTTTACTATCCAATCTCCATCCACGACTTCCTTCTCATCGACCTCTCGGTCTTTAATCCCTCACTCACCTGCTCGGACTGCTACTGCTGCTTCAATCCCCTCATCATCTCCTTCACCTACTCACCGTCCCAAATTATTTAATTTTAAATTAAAAAGTCAAAATTTATTCATACACACATTGTCTTCGACTCTAACTTCTATCACTTCCTTTTAACTCCTCTTCCTTCTCCTATGCATTTTCCTATATTACGTGAGCTCTCTTGTATTATTTTGCAAAATCTTTACCCTTCCAGTCTTTCCTTGCCTTACATACTCTCCTCCTCACCAGCATTGAGGAAGCCAAGTAAAATTTGTCAGTAGAATAGCTTATGCTGATTCCAAAATAGACGTAGAGACGAGGAGCTCAAATAATGATTAACACTAGGTTGGATTTGCTATTGTCAAACTTTAAATTCACAAGGCGTAAATAAGCAGCATGTGTGTTGATGTCCCTTTCCATCTTCTGTTTAACTTATCTTACTCCTTCGTTGAGGCAACATCAGTGGATAATGAATGATGTCAATGAGGTTGAGGAGAGCGAATTGTCTTCTCCGTTGAGCTTTAAAATAACAGCCACCTCAGTGACGTTAGACTTCTTGGGGAGTAGAAGACGATCCAAGATGCCTTGCAAGATATAGTTATCTTGAATTTGGTAGTGACAAGTAACAAATGGCGGTGTAGGCACATGGATGCTTGAAAAAGTGCACAAAGCTTGAAGGGGTTAATATTGCCACCACCCTGTCAGGTTTGAACTCAAACCAATCGCATTGCTAGTGCTGCCAATTGGCCACTGATAGGCTTGTTTTCTGCACAAAAAATCCTAGTTTGTCAGATAGGCTGCTCATGAGGATTGTCATAATTTTTCAGCCTTGGGTCGTACAAACCACTTGTAGATTCGCCCCGTGAGCAAATATGCCGGAAGCACAGGATAGCATCTGTCGGCACGCGAACAAGGTTGTTCTTCTTGCAAATTTCTTAAAACATCTTACTAGCTTCATAGAGTTGGAATTGATGATGCGGTTGCCATTAGGAACTTTGGTGTTGGCTAACTTCTGGGGCCCTGAGGATAAAGCCATCATAAGTGCATCGTGACGTAACACTAATGTCCGCCTTCAAAGATGATCTTCTGGCATAAGACAGCAAAAAAAATTGAGAATCCGGCAGTCTGCTTTTCAAATTTAGCCAATTCTGGTGGTAATACTTTCAAGCTTCAAGGGAATGAGTAAAAGTACCCATCCGACAGTGACTACAGTTTCGCAAGAAAAATAATTACTGAAAACACAAGAAGGACGTTACACTCAAACGATTCTGATGCATGGCATCATTGAAGTAACTTCAGTTACAATGTGGGTGAAATTTGTAAATGCCTCAGCATAGCATTGTTGTCAATCCTACACCACCTGACTCTTTCTGTCCACGTACATGTGCGGCGCTTTAGCACTGGCCAGATGAAAAATTGACCTCGTTTAACCTAAAGTGCAAGTACTGCGTGAGCACCCTATTAGCCTGAAGGTCAGCCTGCAATTGAGCGCACATTCACTCCACCCAATGGGCGTGATCCTGCAGAGATTTCTCATTTATGATTTTTCCTCTTCCAAATGACTGCATCTGTGCCAATTAAATCGAATTAAAAGATACAAATCTTTTATTCATTCCCACAAATCCAAATGATATTCTATCTCGTCTTGAAGGACACAGAGATGCTCATTGCTGGCCTCAAGTTCAGCCAATACACTCTAACCTAAGCTACGGCTACCGATTAAAATAATTTACTCGAACAATGTAAGTAGTATAGTAGGTACACACTAACATTGTAGATTTGATACGTTTTTTCCATGTGCTGTTTTATCATTATACCAAAGTGGCAAAAAAGAAATGCGTGCGTGTCAATTTCAAAATGAATTTGGAGGCGAATTTAGTGCATATTTAATAGTACAAATAAATATGCATGTGAGCATCCAAAATCCCTCTTCCATTCCCAAATCTTTATGATGATTGTTTAATTTATAATGTTCATTTAGTAAAACTTCTAGTGACGGTTTTCCAATCTCACATGTCTGACTTCAATTTTATTGTCATCGTGTTTATTCCAACCGGAATAATTTTTTGTGCCTTTGATAAGTACTTAAAATGCTATACCTAAACAGGATTTGCATTAAACCCCAAAACACCATCGGTTTCCTTGCATTTTGGTGCAAATGGTAGTAGACAAGGGCAACAGTAATAATTCTTAGCTTAGGGGCTCGCAGAAACACAAAGTGAGTCTGACCATTAGAATTAAAGAGCATGAATGTCTGGACCCGTTGCAATGGCACAAAAATGTGCAAATGATTCGAGGCATAAGGCTCACTTGGGCAATCATTTCATTTTGGCTTGTCGCCGAAGGCTGTAGATTGTGGGTGAAGAGGGGGGGGAGTGCAAAATGAACGTCCATTGGCTGCGTTTTCAGCCAACACATACCAAAAAATGACTTATAGTTAATTGTGGCAAACTGCCAAGATAGAGGCCTTCATGTTTCTACATGACTTTACTCTAAGCTTGAAAATTGTATCAAAATAGAAGAAAGTACAAATATGGACACGAAATTTTAAGTTCCGGCAGCATTAATCATGCCAAATTGCAAGATTAGGGGCCAGAAAAAGATGCGTTGCAAAAATTCTGTAAATAGTTGGAGAAAAACATAATCAGATAGTATAATCGTTAAGTGTTTTTCATACAGAGACGTCATTTTTGCTATCTTGATTTGAAAAATGACAAGCATATATCAAAGCCCTGCTCAATGTTCGAGGTGCAGACAGTCAATCTGGGGTGCTCAATTTGTTCTCAGCAATGTTAGCAACGAACTACTTAATGTTCCTTGCAATAACTGAGCATTCCAATTAATCCACTGCTCCTGATATTGTGATGGGTTAACTCGACCCCTCCTTTTTCTTTGCTATGTAGGTTGCCTTATTGTGAATGGAGCATTCGCAGGGTTTTGGGAAGGCAGCACTCTCCAAATGTCTGAGCCGTCTTTATGCCGAGAGTTTGTTCAGCTCTAAATCCAGTCATCTTTCGTGTTCACGAATGCAATTAATGTCCCACTGATGCTTTTTCTTCTCATTCAAGGTAATTTTTCAAGTGATACACAATCTGATTAGAGAATATTTGACACAAGAATAACGAGAAATGACGTGGATGGATGCTACACTTTTGTTTGGTATGAGAGACGAAGCCTAGTGGTTACTGTCGACTAGATGCATGCAGGTAATTGAACATCTGAAATGATTAGGCAGGAGGTGAAGTTAGAGTTGGATTTTTCTTCATTGGTGCCAGCCTTTAATTCCTATGTGTAATAGAGCAGAAGCTAATTGGTGAGATGTGGTTACGTAAGAAAAAGATGGAAGACTTGGAGGTCGCACCAGATGGCACCATAGTCACGCTTCTTGGCTCAAGCTCACGCCTCAAGTATGCGTAGGCATGGTTGATGTGCAAGTAGGAAACCATAAAACCTTCAAAATGATTAATTAAATCGCACTAAGACGGCGAACAAAATCTGCAAAATGAGTGCCCCTGAAACTAAACCTTAAGCTTTGGATTAAGGGAATATTGCAGATACGGATGTAAAAAACAAGGAGATGGACATAACCAGTTGTTTCGTAGAACTGATGGACAGCCGGGTTGTGTTCATTGGGGCTTCATGTGGAGACTTGGGAGCCCTACCACCCAAAGTGAAGGGAGGAGGTAGTTGCAGCGCACCTCGCGTTTGCATAAGACCTCGTGAAGGCATGCTGACACCGCAAACGGATCCGGCAGGACCAGTGTGGGGAGCGGCTTTCCGTTGGAGAATGGGAGAACCCGGTTTCGACAACGGCATTGAGCAACCACCATGCGTCCCATATGCGGTAGTTAAGTTTTTATCATTCTCATTGTGGAAGCGACACTAGTGCAGCGTTCTCATGCGGCACGAAGCCATCCGTGTTCTTACTTACCTGCAACAGATGTAGAAGCCTACTCCACTAATCAAGCTACCTCTCTTTAGTCATTTACTGCCCTAAGTGATCAAACATTTGGTAACACCATCTGTTTCCTCAGCTCGGCAGTAAGAAACACACTTGCCGCAAAAAAAAATTTCACTCTAATTTAAAAATACCTGCCCACAGAAATGCGCTAGTACCTCATCAGGAGGAGGAATTAAAATAACGAAAGCCAAATTTTGGTAAGCGATTCCATAGATCAAAGTAAATAAATTAAAATCTTACTCGGATACGAATGAAAACCCCTCGCAAAGTCGTTTATAGCATAGACATGGTTTTAATTCACGTAAACTTCTGCAGAGTGGCTAGTCTATCGCAGACAACGCACAGCGTATTCACTGAAGAGATAGTAACTTTCGGTAGTGTGAGTTCATTATTATGAGAAGTGACGCACTGATTGGCGCTGTTACCAGAATGTAAAAATTATTATGAATAAAAGTATGCTCTCACCATCGCATTCCGCGCAAGGTATGCCGAAATCTCCAAAATTGCAATCCTACTATTTGAATTTACTCAAACTGGTGTTATATATTCCCAAGGGTTGCAAATACAGTGGAAGGATAACCTGAACAGGCTCATTCGTACTTCTAATTTATTTCAGCCTTTTTACGTATTAAGAGGCAGAGGCATATAAGAAGATGCCTATTCTACAGATTACAAATTGCTTTGCAATCTACGAAGTTGGGCACACTTTTTTGAGTGACACAGGTTTAATGCGCCAAGAATTGTAATAATGAAGTGAAACATCGGTTACCTTGTGAGGTAAAATACATTGTGTACGGGCTCATTTGAGCGGTAGTGCTAAGGACTGGAGAATATTCCATTCTAAGTGAAAATAACTCATAGAAGAAGGGTTTATCTTAGGGCTTCACGAGGGAAGGGATAAGTATGTTTTCAGACCAAGTGCTCTGTCAGTGACTTTGTGGCAAAGGAGCCAGTAGCTTTGAAGTAATGCCTTTTTCGTGCATTTGTGGGGTGTTTTCCTTACCAGCCAAAAGGCACAGTGTTCCAGTGACTGTGATTTCTGGAATGTCGTTTTGCTTTAATTACCTCACATTGTTAATGAAATGTAATGCACATGGGAAGGTGCCAGAGAGCAACCACCAGTCTTGGCTAGATTTGCCCCTCTTCACAACCTGCCAAACATCTCAGTGGAATCTAACGTTACCCTCCAACGCCAAACTATTAACTCTCTCCTCACTTATTTCCATTGCTAATATTTTGTTGCCAATTTCGCGCATTTTAAATACTCTCATCTTAACAGTTGCACGTTCTATGGAATTTCACTTGCGTAACCAGTCGTGCCTTTGCACACACCTGCTATGCCATCAAGCGCGACTATGGTGCCATCTAGTGTGACATCCAAGTGTTCCATCTCTCTCCTCTGACGTAAATGCCTGTCACCAATTAGCTTCAACCTTAGGACGAAATGGATATAAAAACGAGGTTCAGTGTAACAAAGCAGAATACCATTTCTTTGAAATGCAGTTCCTTCAATTTAAAGACAAATTGGTTTTGATGGCACTTCTACCGGTCTCCGTTCTTGTTTATGGTGAGTTACAGATTCCCTGTTGTTGATCCAAATTGCACAGGCTCCACCATCGAGTCCATCATTGATAGCGTCCTGAAGGACGTACCGGAATACTTAACCACAAATGGCGAGCAGTCCCAAGTAGAATCCATTGAGAGCCTTGTTCGCTCCTGCCCCTTTTCGTTTTACGAGAACCTGCTCAATGGGGAGGTGGCATACACCCTCAGCATTTGTATCAACGCAACCAAGTTGATAATAAATCCACCCACTACCGTAAGCTTTCTATAATTTTATACTTTAGGACATTAATTCCAACTTTTTCGTTAATCTTGCGTCAGTTGAATACCTAGGCACTCCTTTGGATACTAATTTAAAAATTATTTCCGCACATCCTCCATAGTGAGCTCAAATTTAAAAAGCAATTAAACCGAGAATTCAAAATAGTTAAGACTATTTAGACTATTAAATTTCATATTTTAGCTTGTGGACGAAGTGAAAATTGGGAAAACAAAGTTGGAAATTTCTATGCATTTTCAAAGAAACGTACAACCCGCTGTTGAACTGGAATTGTCGGCTCCGGTTTTCGAAGATGCATATGTTAAAAAGTGGTTCATTTACATACCAGCCGAGCCATTTAAAGACTTAATAATCAGTGAAGCCAGGAAAATGCTTAAAAGTGAAATTCAAGCCTTTATATCTGCCCTCGGCTAAAACATCCAAAGTGTCTTCTATCATTCACACTCCCTCAGCTGCCATTTATCCCATCTTTTTGTAAAATTCCACCCACCTTTGCCGCATTCACTGTGCATCATTTAGTGTGAAGCGGTATGTCACTGTTTTTCCACTTCAATAACGCCTGCATCGCCAATAACCTTCATCATCCACATTACGCCATGACAAAACTGGTGTGATCGAGCATATAAAAAGATTATATAGAGGAAATTGTTGCAAAGATTTTACGAAGAAGAGGTTACCGGTGGAATTAAAGCAATGTCTCCATCAGGGTGGAAAGGTAACCGTAACTATACACAAAAAGTATCAAAAAAACAAGCGAAATAGTACAAAAGTTTTTCTAAAAGGAAGATTAGGCTAAAGGTTAAGGGATAGAGTTAGGGGATTAAGGTTAAAATTAGGATTAGGGGTGTAATTTTAATAGCGCAGACCTGCATATATTCTGAAATATATTTAAATTGTAATTCAATCAGGCAATTTAAGGCATGAAATCCTATGAAGGAGACATATTATTCCCTATGCTGCCCTACAGAGAAACTGAATTTCGTATAAGTAGTCATGACTTTACACCCGTTGACATGGGCATAACATGAAGTCGATACAAATATCCCTTGAGTTGCACCGCTTGACCTATGTAAAATCGGTACGCTTAGACGAAAACGGGTTATTCCACATTAATTTAGCCTTAAATTTATAAAAGTTTGCAAAATATTGTCAAAATACCCACGGATATGCAGAATTCCTGATAAGCCCACCCGAAAGTTGGAATGGATGATGATACTATGTGTAATGAAATTTCATAGTTTTATTGGCTAATGCCATACCGCACCTCATATTCTGTTTGTAAGTAGGGTAACAATGGCTGAGTGAATGACAATTCTATCAACTTCCTTTTGTAATCTGACCAGTATGCACGATGGCAGTGAGTACTCGCATTGTAATGGTCAACAATATGCAGTTGATAATATCTAGTTTTTATTTAAATCGTGGTAAGAGATAGAACAAAGGGTGAAATACAATAATCTATGCACCTGGACTAAGACGAGGATGATGATGATTTTGTGAGGTCGCCTCAACGTCCAACCAATGTCGAGTACATCAAACGCAGGTGGTGGGCCACATGGAAGATGGCCACCGTGGCGGACGTCAACGGATCTACAGGGTCTATTGCGAAGCGGTACGAATGGGAGTCATCGTCGTGCCGGACAGAATCACTGTGTGGCATTCTACCTGCATTTAGATGTTTTGGACACAACTGCACTTGGGAAAAGTAGTATACTCAATCGCTGAATAGGAGGACTCACACCTTGTGCTGGAATTAGGACACCTGCATTGCCACCACCGTGGGCCTGGATGGAGGATGGTGTCGCCAGCCTCACAGTTCCGACCTTAACTGATGAGGCAACTCGCATTACTGGAGCCCTGGATGGCAGCGCAGCGACAGGGGAGCAAATTCACTCTCACTTTGTCATCAATGCGACGGATTGCATGAGTGAAATGATATCTTCCACTGGTACTGCTACATTTAGTCTAAAATAACCTTACAAGCATGCTTTATGCAAAAAGCGATGTTTAGGCCTAATGCATGGCAAATGTCAAACTTTGAGTTTTGCCGTTCAAGCAGGACATACATGGTAATTAGCAAGTTGATTAGTAAATTCGCCTCACACATCCTCAAGACAACCTGTGTCAGCAAGTGGCTGACATTTCAGTGCGCTCAAGCGATGCGAAATGTCGTGGCATATTGCTGGAGAGAGGCGTGGATTGCAAGCACGCAATGCATCGGGAGGGGGCTGTCGTCCGATGAAAATAGAGAGATCAACTGGTAATGTGGTGCATGTCGATTAATTGCCAGCAACACGTGGTAAAAGGAGCAATTCAACTGAGCCGCAAAGGAATCCACTAAGCTCTCACATTCGCTCTCAATCCCAATAGCATCACTGACTTTGCTCCAACGACTGATGCTGGTAATGCAAGTTGCAGTGCCAATCCACCTAATTCTGAGACAGATGCTGCGCATTACACGTAGCCGCATTTAAAACAATAATGTTTCCAATTCCAATTTACTTATTGCATCGCATCTGCTGCTCTGAAATTGCTTGGCAATGAAGACAATGGGAGTACGATGAAGAACAACCATCACTAAAGTTCCTTGACTTATAATGAGAGGGCTTTCAATTTATTTCCCACTTTTTAAACCAATTTATATCTGTAAATGAATAAATTAAGAAGCTATTGGATGAATTTTCACCTTCCTTACTCGAAGTGGCAGCATCTCCACCATCATCGCCATCACTTACTTCGTTCTTTCATGTTGGTGGCAATGGTGGAGTGTGATTTGCCATACCCTCTCAGTTTCCACATTTTTACCCCATTTCATTCCCTTTGCCTTATGTCATCCTTTCTCGTCTCCAAAGTCAAATTCAGTCCAAATAAAAAAGGAGATTGCTCCCTCCACTCCTTCCGTTTTGGCTAGACCTACTATTCTTCTCCTCCATTTCCGAAGTCGCCACCTCCACTGGCCTCTCTAACGACACGGCAGCGGTTTGTGCAGGCGCAGAATTAAGATATTTTACCCAAACTTACATTTGTCAGTTCTGTAGAAGTATTTAGGGGTGATGCGTTGGTTCCCTTTCCTTGCTGATACCTTGATCGCTTTTATCGCTCTTTGTAGAACATTTTGCAAACACAAAGTGGCAGGAAAGCTATTGGGTCACAATTGCTTGCTGAGTCTCATTTGCCCATATTAAAACCACTGTAGGCAGCTAATGTATGCTATGTTGGGGCAGGACTAGGATATACTGGACTAGACTTGACTACACTAGGCCTCCTGCTCTGTCATGCACCCTTCGTAGCTGCTTCCAACCCCGTCAATCAAATGCTGCTTTATTTGTCATTCCAAGTCGTTTAAAATGATTTTGAGATTACTGAAGCTTTTTCAATTTATCTTGCAGATATTAGGGAACGGGGTGCACACGTAGTGCCAATTGACACAATCAGACTGGCGACGGAAGCAAAAACCTTTGTCATCTCCTTTTCCTTTCCAAAGTTCCAGTTTAACGCTACTTTAGTATGTTTCATTCTTCTCCCACTGCTCTTTCCACTCTTCTACATCACTGTATCTTACGTTATGCACCACCACGCCTGACCATGCCTCATTGCCCTAACCCCCCTAACGAAAAATAGGTATGCAAGCATAGTCTCATCCACTTATTTTCCTTCATTGCATTTTAATGAGACCCGAACTCCTTTCTCCTCGTTCTCCTCCGCATCTCGTTTCGTCTGCTCACCCGGACATCCTATAAAGTCAAATTTACTCCTCCTCCTCTCATGTCAACTTTCGCCAATGCCTCTGCCCATCATCTATTTAAACTTTTACGTCACTTTATCAATTCGTCTTGAATTATGCTGTAGACTAGACTGAACGCAAATTAGACTACACAGCATTTCGCTGATGGTCCCATCTTTTCTCTCATGGCTTTTTTCCTTGTTTTATGCCTGCACAAATATATCATGTCACACTTACTGAATCTCCTCCCAATGTACTCTCGAGGGTGAAGGTGAGCACGTCAATACATTCTTCTGTCTACCACATTGCTTATTCCCTGCTTTTTTGTTCAAGTGTTCTGTATACCTGGTCCATAACGGAATGCACACCTTTCCGCTAGTCGTTAGCTCAAGTTTACCCTGTGTGTGCCTAACCCATTGTCCAGGGGTTCATATTTTGCCTATTTCGCAGTCAGATCAACTGGCGCATTACGGAAACGGGAAAGAATGCATGTTTTACTCGTTATTTGTTAATCAAAGTCTGCTGTGTGTAGCAGTGGATGGGTTTGTCCATTCATCACCTCTCCCTCTCTAAACCTTTCTAACAAATCAAATATCTAGCTTCATTACAAGCCAGGCGGAAATTCCTTTGCTGGCTGACTGGTTTATTGATTGATTAGATCATTGGGTCACTAGTACTTTGGTAGGTTAAATGATCCCCAATCTTTTTCACTTTCTCGTCAAGGCATCAACACTTTGCCTGCTACTCTTTACTCCATCTAATTACTCCCCGGAGTAAGGTAAGCGCTGAATGATGGGAGGATAAGGGAACGAAGTGAACAGGAAGTAGTGGTTCTGAGCTTACAAAGAACCCTTTAGAGAAGAGGGAAAGGAAGAGATTGGAGAAGGGAATAAAGGGGATGGTGTTTGGCTGGAGTTAAGAGAATACGGGAGTACCCATTTCGCCCGTTCTTCAACAGTCGATTCAATCAGTAGCAAGGCTGTATTTTGTGGTGGAGAAATAAGTAATGGAAAGCTTATACGGTTGTATCCACTAATAAGTGGCAGTGCTACGCAGTTTTGAAGGTAGTTTCGCTGAAGTCGGCCTGAACGCATTATATAAAAGTCTTTTTTAAACGCGACAGACCCCAACATGCAAACTGATATTTTTCCATACACATTTAAGGCCATATTTCTTGCAAAGCAACTTCAAACGTCACATCCCACCGATAAAATCCATTAGCATCCTGTTTTGAAATGTCAACTAGTTGTCCGAATAGATGGACATTGGCACCAACTGCGAATGATACAACTAGGGAGTGAAAAATAGGAGCAGTTGAATAATGACGTCTCTGTTTTTGAAGTGGTACGAGATATATGGGGGATGGATGGGTGCATGATTATTTAAACCCAACGTGGTAAAGCATGTGTTGAGGCTAAGGAAAATCAGCATCCAAACTGAAGGCTAATACTGAATTACTGGATACCGAATGCTTTGTCGTTCATATAGCGAAATCATTTATAATACTTGGCTCTTTTCTTTCTTCACCCGCTTCGCGAGTGCAGTGCTGTTGCTCATTATAATAAAGATAATCCATCCTGCCCATGTCTGTGCAGCACTAATGGGGACGCCAGCCATCAAGCAGGGAGAACGTGATTCACACAAAGGAAAAGACAAAGCAGTTAGGTAGATTACCCATTGCCATAGAAACCTTTCTCCTAGGTGAATACATCATGTCAACCATAGCTTTTCTCATCCAATTCACTGGCTGTATAGCACGACTGTGGCCGGAAACCGGCTCCACCGACATCAATATCATAGGGGAGAAAATGTGCCACCCACTTGGCAAAGTACCGATACAACATACAGTCTGAAGCACTAGTAGTGTAGTTGATGACCAACTAAAGCTCGCTGCCTAACCGGACTTATTGGTCTTCTTTCGTGGCACATCGATTTCCGGAAAGTTCCACATTACAAAGACCAATTTCAACCCACGTCGTCTCCACTGATTCGGCAAACCAAGTCTAGAGGAACTGCTGGTCAACATCATCTGCAATCAAAAACATGTGACAGCCATGTCCTCCGACCGGTCGGAGGCAATCAACGGAAATGTTGCCTCAGTCTCTCACTTGACCCACGGTGTTCGAAGTCGTCCGAAAACCACTACCGATTTTTAAAAGTGGCAAGAAATCCTCCAGTACCTCCACTAATAACTTACCCATAGCCAGAAAAGCCCCCTGTCACGCTACGTCACATCACAACTTCATCTCGACTTCGTCAGTCCAATCCATGACATCTCGTATATCCCACTTCATTCTTCATTCAGGTGGGAGCCTTTCCAAATCGGCCGTAGATAGCAAATATGGTCTTTCCTGCAGCCACTAAAGACGTCGCATGCGATGAGCTGTGAGCATTTCAAGGATGCTTTCATGCCTTACAAGCGCAGCGCTGTCTGATCGAATCAATCCTCCGAGAGTATGAAATATCATTCCACTCATCCAAGATGCATCGGGAGTCTGCGGCGCAGTGGACAGTGTGCAGGGGGATGATTGCCAGGTGCCTCGAAGTTAACACTGTCGCTTGGCACGTAGGGTGATGGAGGATTGGTTTGTCCAAGAAGAGGTATATCAAATTGCGGTAGCTTTTGCTGCACGCATTAGCTTACGCGAATGAATGATGAGGTGGGATTTCTTTGGATTGACCTCAACAGGAGTGAGCGATGAGTCTACCTCCCCGTTATTTCTTGCACTCGACTGGAGGCGTTGATGCAGGGCGCTTCACGTCGACGCGTAGGTGAGACTGCTGGTGTATGCGTGGGTTTGGACGTGACGATGGTGGTTGTCTCTTCCACAGAACTTTTGGAGAGCCAGCGGTTGCGGGATTCAAGCGAGAGCGTCCTACTCCACCAATAACACTGCATATGAACTCGACATGGGAAATGAGCGTGACAACCATGGAGGTTCGTTTCGTTGTTGCCTTGGTTCCCCATGTGTTTGCGAGTCTAGTGTAATGACTGAAGTCCTTCTTTCCAACATTACACTGCTTGTGAATGCAGCTGCCAATTTTTGCGGCTTTTCCATCTCCAGCACCTGCATTTACGCGATTACCTCTGCCACTGTCCTTCGCACAACTACTGCCTGTCACCTTCTTTTCACAACACGACCGCATTGCGTTATGATGTCTGGATGATGCTCTTCAAGTGTGATCACGCCGACCGATAATCGCCGCACGTGACATTTATGCCGTTTACTGGGGCAGCAAGCAGGGTCAGATTAACAATTTTCGTGTCCGCCACATTGCCCTCCTTGCAAGCCCATTCAGTTCAGTCACATGCTTTGTAGGTCAGACTGGCAATGCTCCTGAATGACTCGTAACTATAACTACAATGTGTCTAGTGGCGTTTTCACAACCCTCACGTTCTAACTTGCACCAATAAACTCTTTTTGTAGGCGACTTTGTGATCATTTGAAGAATGTTGCTCCTTTGTTAGTGCAACTGTTACAGTTGTTCTCACCCAGACCAGACCTCACAGTAGACTGCCGTCCGCTCTGCTGAACCACACGAGTAGTTGATTTGCTGGCATGGATGGTGTGACATTTAAGTGAGATACACTTCAGATTGACAAGCAAACTCCTTTCGCATTGCACAGGCAAGGTTCCATTAGAGCGAGCTCAATATAAGTTGCACATGAAAATTCGCATAGCTGAATCCGAATGCATGAAATCCTGCCAAAGCCTTCCATGTAAGCAAATACAGGCCACTGAAAAGGGATTTCCTTACTTCTGAACCAACCGCCGACACTAACGCATGTCGGAATTGAACCCACGATTCAGCAGTTATTAAGGTCCCACTTTATGCGTTTCACCGAGAACACGTCAGCACATAACCGAGGGCTGAGGTCTTAAATAGTGGTGTAGATGTCAATGAATGATCAGCATGAGAATTGTCCCACAAGCACAATATTGTCCATCAAGACGGACATGGTAACTACTTGAATGATGAAACTACTCCTCCTATGCATTATGCAATGCTTGGGGATAAATAGCAAAAGCACACTGCCTCCTAAAACACCCACATGGAATCGACTGACGCACAAAGGCATGACAACAGCTCGTGAATTGTAATCCTGAGCATCACGCAAAGTAATGGCACAGACGGGGTTGGTATTTGGCATTGTTTGATAACGCCTTGAATTGGAGGCTCATAACGCCAGTGGCACAAAGTAGGCACCAAGTAGATTTTCTTATGCAACAAATGGGCCTACAACATTTATAATGCAGGCATTATTTTAGGGATAACAATAGACTCACCGCCTCAACAAAGTGACATCTTTAACAGCTTGCTTTAAGAACCATCTGGCATTACGCATGCACTGTTATAATATTCACAGATAAAATCAAACATATCTATATTTAATGAGGCAAAATTGATGCCAGCACACTCCGACACCTACACCCATCCATGCAAATATATGTATAAAATAAATATATAATTCTTAAATAATTTGTAATTTAGAAAAACTGCAAAAATAATACAGTCCAATCAGTATTTACACGAAATACTAGAATTAATATCTATCCAAAAAAAGTAAAAATAATATCTTCATATCAAAATCTGCCTTGAAAAACGAAGTACAGAACCAGTGTATACCCTAGAAAAAATTCAATTTATCTTGTTTAACTGCTTTGCAGCAACTTTTCCTTATTGGCACTTCATCCTAATAAGCCATTTCGACATTGCCTTCCACGGCCATCATGCACGCGAATGATCAACTGGCGCACTGGCTCGTGCCCTTGGGTGTTGATGGATTCGTCCAGTGTCACTTCGGTAATATTACTGCCAAATAATAGCATTTAAGCTTCCCTCAAAGACCAATGTCTTTCCTTTTGTGGATGTGAATAAAAGAGATAGATTGTTCACGTGGCTGTGCACGTTCCTTCTGGTTGGCGCAGAGTTAATAGATGAGTGCGTCAAAAGGACCGAAATCCACTATTTTACAGTGCATAAGTAAAAGGTGGCCAAAGTTAAAGGCGAGCTGTGATGTGTGTTTGTTTTTGTTACCTGTTTGAGTGTACCTTTGAAGGTATCTTGGTACTTGTGTAGGTTTTGAGGAAGCCACTTTTTTTCATTTCTTGAGGGTCATGGTATTTGGTAATGCCTTCATATCCTCAATAGGTGGTTAACCATGCAAAAACACGAGTGATCCGCACTTAGTCTAGAAGGTCGCTTTGGACTACCCAGGATAAATACACCTTCTGCGGAAATTGTAAGAGGCGTCTATCCCCTGGTGGCCACTTACTGGACATTACTCGCCCTTCGAAAGTAGAACATCGCGAGTACCGACGTGTCGCGCCTGGAGGACTTCGAGCTGCTTACAATAGCTGTATCCTCAATCAACAGTATTCGACGTTTGGATTCGGTCATTCTTATGGCAGAAGGCACAGACGCAGCCGTTACTTGGGGTGCTAGGAATGCTTGTCCACTTTACGCGTATACACTCGTTGGCTTACGCGGACAATGGGGTTCCCACGTTACCTCTGTGTGTGTTTTTGTGCTCCTAATTCCGGCCCTCTTCCTGATTGATGTATTACTGATAAGAACTGGCTCTTACACTCCTCATTATGAATATTTTTTATCACATCTCACATACGTGACAGGTGTTACTTAGCAGCTTATGATGGCTGCAACTGATATAAATTGTGGTCCGCAAAATGTCTGTTTGCATTTAAAGCAATAAAGTAATAGTTGACAATTGCATGTTGTGGTTTGTAAGCAGGAATTGAACTGGTTTGAACGACTAACCTCAATTGGTGTGATTAGTTGAACAGTGCAATGACTGGATTCTCGATAAATTTTTCTGTCAGGCAGACCGACAGATCTCAGTGGTGAAAGTAGTAAGCCGTGCTTTTGCAGCTGCTATCCTGAATGTCGCCTTTGGCTTCCCTTGGTGTGGTTATGATGGAGGACATTTTTTTTTGCTACGTTGTCCCTTTATTTGGCCTCCCTAGCAAGAACGACATGTCAAAGATGCGCTTGTGGAGAATATTGAATTCGTTTAATGGAATGTGTCGGATCCCGAAATTCTTGAATCTTTGTCTTCCCAAATAGTTGGCTGCGCAATGTTTTGCTAAATTAATTTGACACCAAGGGCTTTTTGTCACTGTGATTCCGGTTTCAGCAGCCTGTTGCTTGCCGCATCATCCTAGGATAGGTTTGAGTGAGCTTTGTTTCTTTACCTTTTATTTTACTTCATCTCGTGAAATTTGTCTTTAGCATTTCACACTCGAAAGTTTCAATTCGATTGCAAAGGGAGAGCAAGTGTAGAGACATCAATAAAAGGGTTTCCATGCAACTTGTTTAAAGGTCCTGCGCAATACTTCATTTAAATACGTCTCCAACATTGACAAGTGAATTGATGAACCTCTGGTCTACCATTTCGGAGGCGGAAGTACGGTGATTGTAGAGGTGACATCGGTATAATATGGATAGGTCTATTAGGGTAAAAGACTGTATTCCTAAAATCCACCCCTTCAATATTTCGTCGATTTTGTTTGCAGACTTTGGTCTTATTAGGTTGGACCAAATCGTCGTTTCTGCTACTGCAGTGCCCACTTGACCGCTTCTAATTTGGTTTCCAAATAGAAGCACACGAGGTGGGTATCATTTAGGGAGGTGAAATTTTGGGGAGCTAGTAGCAGAGGTAGTAGTTTCTTTTGCGTTTGCCTTTATCCTTTGAATCGGGACCAATGTGGCTACATTTACTCAGACTAACAGAAAGTTAGTGCTCACGTGACAAGTGCCCTGTGACCTAAAACTGTAAGCCTTAGCAATAAGGTAGGATTGTAATCTGTTATTAGCAGTTAGAAACTATCTTTGAAATCTTTTTTGGATGAAGGCGCTTATGGCATTATGCAGTCACTTTTCTCTGCAAGTCACTTTATGACAAACAACACAAGGCATGCAGCATAGAGCAAAATCAGACAGAACAGGACGGAAGTCAGTTTGCAGCAGCTCTAAATGCCTGCCAGGCTTGTGCTAACGACCAAAAATATTTTGTTCTTCACTCGTCCTTCACTTCCCTCATTACCTGTACGATTAGGCCACTGCACCCGTCAGACTTTCTTCAGAGCATCCAAGTGTTAGTGTCAGAATGCTTTACCTGTTTTGTATTTCATTATCGAGGCAAGCAAAGGAGCAAGGGTAAGAAACAGGAAGCTGAATGAGAGGCAGTGGTGACACAACTTAATCAAGGCTAGTTTCACATCTAGTCATCGACTCCAATATCTTGAATGCATTGTCGTGAGATGCATTAGGCCACACTGTTTTTGACGCACATTAGTACAGAAAGAAAATCAAAATGTTTGAGTGGTGTCTTTTTCACCGTTTATTCAGTAAGTTATCCAACAATCCAGCATATCCTCGTCCATTTACCTCGGTCTCTCTGTTCGTGCTTTTTATAAAAGACCTACAAATTTGTTTAATTTCCAGGTATTTGTGATATGTGATGTTAAAAGGCACATTACCATGCTGAATTGCAGGATTTATATTGTGTAAAGAACCATAATTCACGTAGTATTTGTACCTACAGATCTCAAATGACAAATAGCATAATGACTTGCTAAAGGTCATTTGACAATGCAATGTTTCTGCATTAGAAACAAGGTCAAAATGCAAGCAATATGCAGCGAATGCATGCTGTCCAGGTTATTGCCTGGGAGGGATCCACTGACGTACAGATCAGATAGCCGTCCTTGCAAATATTTGGAACGAGAGCAAAATGTGATGATAAACAGAGGCCTGCATCAAAGACCAGTCAAAGCCTAACTTTGTAATTAGCGATTATTTCATTATATTGTCTCTTAATATTCCAAGAGATGCTGATACTTTAGGAGAAAAAAATTTTAAGTGGACTGAAAAATTCGCGGTGTTAATATGTATTTAAAGAATGAAGACGAACACACGCTTGTGCTAAGGTTGGATAAATTACAGCCAAAGATGGGGTTCAATTATGAAAAATACGAGATCCGTGGTAGAGAAGCCACTTTTCTGCATGTTCTTCCCATTTTTTGTTGACTTTTACTTCGCCGGCTTATCCTTATATTAGTCTTTTCACCAACTTCTTCCTCCTTATTTTCTACTTCCTTTTGTCCACCCACTCAAGGTGCGTCAAACTTAAGTTGAGGTGA